TCAGGTACAGTAATACCTCAGTTCACGAACGCATCTGTTTGTGAATAATTCAGTTTGCATGAAGTCCACCATGGTAACAGTGTGCCAGATGTGTGGTGTAGTACTGTTCTGAAGAGTTGTGGTCCAGGCATGGTGGTGCTTGCCTGTCATCCAAGCACTTGGGAGGCTGAGGCAGGAGGATCTCCATGAATTTGAGGGCAACCTAGACTACAGAGCAAGACTGTCTCAAAAAAAAAATCTGGACATATTCTGAGTCTCTCTGTATTCCTATCTATTTTAGGTCTCTTAAGTATTACTTGTTAAGGTAGGATTACCAGTAGAGAATTTTAGATTAGAAGTCTCTCTACCTGCATCGACTCCAACTGTGTATGGCTGGACTATACACAGTTCAAAAAGAATTGATGGAAACAATGATCTAAAGCTGGAGAGATGTAAAACAAAGGTATTTTCTTGTTTCTGTGACGGAATTTCAAGGAATGGAGAACAGCAGAAAGCTATGAAACAAACAGATGAATCTATTTAGACTCATAGGCATCTAGAAAAGGTTGGAAATTTCATGCTTCATGAAGAAAACTTTGCAATAAATATGTTAAAATGGGTAATTTATATATATATATTTATAATCATAAATAATTAAGTGCAGTGGCTGTAACCACAAATAAAAGAACTATTCAGATGCATATAACCTAAAAACTTTTTGAATAATTCTTTGCACTTACACCTAAAAATAGAGTAATTTTTAAGTTAGGAAAACAAATATATAGTATATAGGAATTATCTTAGAAATAAATGTTAGATATTTAAAAATTAAATTGATAATACATTACTTCAGCAAGCAAAATTACTGTGAAACTTTACTACTAGATGTAAGGTACTGTTTTTCATCCAGCAAACAGATTAATTTTTCAATGTGGACATTTACTAAAAATTCACTTGTAAGTCACTTGATTAGAATTTGGACCACATTTTCTCATGCAAACCAGTATTACACACACAGTTAAGTTTCTGTTCTTGTTGCTCTATGTCATTTAACAAACGTAACTATCAAATACTATGCATTTTGTGCCAGAAATTAAGTGCTTTACATTGAAAACTCCAACCATCTGCATCAGCATGAAAAAGCGACAGGGTCTAAGAACTGAAACCACCTGTGCCAACATGATTTATTTGTTTGTTACAGGAAAACTTTTCCTAGGAAAGATAAGACTGTAAACCAATAAATAACTTCACTGTTTGTTCCAGGAAATTCCTATATATTCATTTATCTCAGACAAGCCATCTTCTCACCTTCACAGAGAGCTCACTTATCAAGCAACAGCTTACTTATCAGGACGCTTGAAGTGTCCTGCTTGCTATGTACACTAATCTTAGGCAGCTGTGTCACAGATTTTTGCAAAGCCCAGTCTGTTCTCCACAACTGAGCCGAGACACCCAAATCCTATAAATATCATCTCACCTGCTTCCTTCAAAGACACCAAGACTGTTAATGCTGCTGTTCTGTTACTGCAAAGAACTCTAGTAAGTGCAGTATCACATTATGAACTGGTGTTGTGAAGTTCAATAATGTAATTCATTCAACCCTCATAACTGTCTCTGGAGGCTGGAGAGCCCAAGATTAGAATGTGGGGCTTCTTATGAGGTGCTCACATGGTGGGAAGCAGAAGGGCAAACATTCATCTATTCGTGTAAGCCCTTTCATTGTGACACTCATTCACGAGAGTGGAGCCATCATGACCTAAACACCTTTCAAAAGGCCCTCCTTCCCAACACTGCTCCACTGTGGATTAAGTTTCCAGCATATGAGTTGTGGATGGGACAGAAATATTCAAACCACAGCATTCACCCCAGCTCTCCAAGACCCATGTACTTTTCCCTTACAGAATGCACTTCTGTTATCCCAGTAGCTCTCAAAGTCTTAACTTGCTCCAGCAACACAATCACCTCCGGCTATGAGCATGTGAAATCAAATGAATTATGTGCTTCCAAAACACAGTCGTGAGATAGGCATAGACAGACACTCCCACCACAGAAGAGAGAAACAGGAAAAGAAGAAAAGAGTAAGATTCCGAGTAAGTGCAAACACCAAGAGAGGAAACAATTCTTAGGGCTTCAGCATAATCATCTCTGATTTTATGTCCTGTTGTCTGCACACAGTGGGCAGAGGTCAGGCCCCAAGGAGGCAGGAAGCCCACACTAAGGCTCTGACACACTGAAACTGCACGACAGCAGCATGCCTGGGTCGGTGCTCGTCGCTGGAGGCTCTGTAGTGCTAAGATCAGAGAGAGGGATCAGCTCCCATGGTTCCACCAGCGTTCCCCTTGCGGCTCACCGAGGCAGCCCTCACCCTGAAGTTCTGCTCACAGTTGCCATGGGAGCGCCCTCTGGTGAACCAGAACTTGCAGCAGGCCCCCCAAGGAATCTCAAGGAATCCCCAAGGAAGCAAGAGGTACCTTGCTTCACGGACTTAATTCTTTCCAGGATTCTGGTCACAGAAATCATTCCACTACGTGGTTGCAACCGAAATGCATGCATAGATGTACCTGAATCATGGAATGCATTAAGTTCGTGAATCGACGAAGCACCATAGTTTGATATTCTTGTGACTCTGAACACTTTTGATTACAATGATACCCCATTTTACAAGTGAGGCTCGGATACATTAAGGACTTGGCTTTAGTTCACCCAGAAAGTAACCGGTAAAGCCTGTGCTCATATCTTTGCACCATATTCTTTAAACTGCTAACTCGTTGTGAAAGGACAATTTTTATGAGATGGAAGTCTGCAGGTCCTGCAACAGGGATTCACGTGTGCAGAGCAGCAGTGTTGCTTAAACATTCTATCTCAGTGTGATCATACAGATGATCTTTTGTTAATCAATGCTGAGTCACACATGAACATATTAAAAGTAACATGAATAGACAGGACAGAAATCATTAATAAATATAATTCCTGATATGCTTTTAACATACAGAGTAGTTACTATGAAGTTCCTTAGGTAATGAAAAGTTGCAATTTTTTCCCTATGCTAAACAGTGTTTTCCACACATATTTTTTTCTTTATATAATGAGAAATGAATGCTACATAAATATTTGGGTATGCAGAAAGTTCTCACAATTTTACCTAGCTAAAAGGAACCAAAGCAGGCTGGCAAGGTTTTCTGTTCCTTCCTGGATAGCTACTCATATAAAAACAATATGAGGACATAAAAGAACAGTATGCTGAAACAGAAAGGCAAATTTAGCACACAATAATGAAACACGTGGTTAGGTTGAAACTGAGGATTCTTAGCCAACCAGTAAGAGTATGTCAAATCAACTTGTGTTTTTTTCATTCTTACTGTTTTCAATTGCTGCACCTGCCTGCCAAAACCATTAAGAGAAAAGCTGATGGTGAACTTCACACTGGATACACTAGGCTCACAAAAACTGCAAGCTGCTGATCCATCTTAGTATCACCAAACATGGGACAACAAACATGATGTGTCCTCCAATGTGATACAGTGGAAAACACCTAACATTATGAAGTGTTTTTGCTCAAGGACAATGACAAATAATAATAGCATACATTTAATTGTTACACACTGATATAGAAGACTTTTTGAGCCAATCACAGGTATGGAATGGAGAACTATAGATATTAAAGAAAAATTTGTTAACTGTTAGTAACACATACTGAAATGTTTATGATAAGTAATGCCTGATTTGCTTTGAAATTTGCAAGTAGGTTTGGGTGCTGTGTGTGTGTGCTAATTCACGTATGCAGATGAAACACAACATTTTCACATTGGGAAAATGTTGATAACTGTTAAGTCTGTGCGAAGCATACAGGGATTCTTTAAAATCTACTTTCTACTTACTAGATGTTTAAAATGTTACAGAACACAAAGATTAAAAATGGCCTATTTTCCCAACACTATGCTAGCTATACATAGTATGTCATCATTCACATATATAATGGCTGCAAACAATTATTATAACCAAAATCAGAACAATCATTCTCGTCTAGAGAGAGAGAGACAGAAAAGCTCCAGGATGCTGCTACTCTTTCTTCTGGAGTTTCTTAGGCTTTACAGCTGAGCATCAAAGAACCCTGACCTCGCCTGTCCATTCTCTGCATACATTAACCACCTCAAGCTTCCTGCTAATCACATGAATTGTTGCACACTGGGCAAAGTGCTGGCCTCCTTCCATTCAATCTTGCTTTACTCAGATTGCCTTTCTACAGAGCACAAGGTAATTTCATTAAGTGCCAACTCATCAGTTTTTTGTAGTAAGAGACGCAGCCCCAAGAAGCCTTAGTGACCAATCACTCATAAGTTGCACATTCCTTTAAAGGAACAGAATATTCCTTCACGTAACTTAGATTAAAATATAGTGTGAAATATGCTTTACATTAGGCACGTTTTTCTTTTTTTTTTTTTGGTTTTTTTCTCTGGTACTGGGAACTGAACTCACGACCTTGCGCTTGCCAGGCAGGCGCTTTTGCCGCTGAGCTATATCCCCAGCCCCCATTAGGCACGTTTTGTAACTGGCCTGGCTCATAGTAGTTCTTCCTTTAAATGTGGGGTTTACCTTCACGGTAGCATGAAAACTCTTCCCAAATGTGGAAGAAAATGCAAATGATGCTCAGCATTTAACTACATCTAAACTTGCAACTTTCATTTTTTTATATAGAAGTCAAAATGTGACATGTAGCAAGTTTAAAGGGTCTCAAATACTGGACAAGAATAAAGACTCATCACACTGTCTTATTGAGATACTAACTCAAGAATGTAAATCAACTCATTTGTATTTTCACAAGTTCCTATTTTATTTATTTATTTATTATTTATTTACCTATTTATTGAGACAGGGTCGTGCTATATAGTCCAGGCTTGTCTTGAACGCAGGGCAAACCCCTTGCTTCAGCCCCCCGAGTGCTGGGATTGCAGGTGTATGCCACCATGCCCAGCTACAAGTTCCTAATATAATAATGAATGCTTTGACAATAGAAAAATAAATTATGATCTCTGTTGTTTGGCTTTATTTTGTTTACTTAAAATACACAGCAATTATTAAAATTTTTACATAAAAGGACATAAATGTTTAGAAAAGCAGTTTTAGTAACAAGTCCCGTCAACAGATACAACTTTAATCTGCTTTAACTGAAATCACTGCTGCTTCTTCAGAGCGATAATAGCGTAACATCTGGGAGACTTCACAGGATCAAACAACTTCACAAGCGCAGACCATGCAATATCTTCCTGCAAATTGATAAGCGATTCAGAAGGGCAACCATTGGTTGAAGACAAAAAGGACAGATGAGTCAGATCACATGCCATCATAGAAAAACTACTTAAAAACACACTATATAAAGAATTCTATTCTTTTGTGAACAAAATTACAATTGTACCTTTAAGAATTTATGCTGAGAAAGCAAACAAGAACACAGAGATTTGAGTTACGGGGCGGTATTCTCTGCTGTGATTATGAAAAACTGAACACGGCCAATATCAAAGGGGTACTAATTAATCTTATAATGAAACATTATTCACTTTGTGCAGTACAAGTAATGAGATGGGAAAATTCCACACACCCTCAATTACATACAAAACAGCATTTATAAGTTCATTCCAGTCGTAAAGTATAAACTGCATACACATATACATGGAAAATTCAAATATATGATAGTATCATTAGGAAATAGATCAGATATTTTAATAGTACTGAAAGATGGGATTATAGTTATTCTAGTTTTTTATACTTTTCTGTATTTTACATTTCTAGCAAAAATAGGTATTTAAATCTGAAAAATTAGTAGTTCTATGCCTCCTATTATATCACAAAGATCTATAAATATTCGTGCATACTGTTTTGCCTAACTAGTGTGCTTAGGTCAACAGAAATCTTTTTGAGAAGGAATCTGAGTCTCCCCTAAAGTAACTACTGATTTTGTCACTAGCAATTTGGGAATCAAACCTTTCTGGCGACTTGGACACTTAGGAACCTATATTATTATTTATACACTTTAAAAACTTGCCTTTCTCCATAATATTACAAATTACAATTAAGTCATATTTATTTAAATCCATTTGTCCCAAGAAGTCTGTGGATAAGTAAAAAGCAAAGTTTCCTACATGATAAAATTGTTTAAAAAAGGGTTTACAGTGGAAACATCAGGCTGAGTCTCCAAATGGGTTTAATTTAAGGACTTCACAATGCTTTATTTTCACCACAGCCCAGTACAATGTGAAAAAATACATTTTCTCTAAAGGTAATTCAAAAGACTGTATTCTATTATTTAACATATATGAAACAAATAAGATTGTAAAACAGCAGAAATAATTCTCACTGATCAGAAAGACATTTCTATATTGCAAATTGTGTACATCCAGAACTCTAAAAGTGTATTAAAAGGTAAAATTTTACAAAATGAGATGTGTATACAATGCCTTTTATTCATTTTTATTTACAGTGCCTTTTATACCTGGCCTTTATTAATTTTGCCTCTAATATGTCACATATGGTGGCTTGTGTTCACTGCCTATGTGTAGTAATTACCATCAATTAGAAAAGGTACATTTTATTATATAGCAGTTTTCCTAAAGATCTCTGTTGCACACATATTTATATATTAGTGAGAGGGAATGAATATTTAGACTATAAACATATCCTGAGAAAAGTTATCTTGATAGTTTAATGTGAATTTATCCTAGATATGACTGCACTAACATTACTATAGTTGATAAAGATATTTATTATTCATTTAAAAATCATACAATTTACCTGCTCTTTCAGGTAGCAAAGTCGATCCAGAAGAATCAATGTCTCTACACAAGGAGCCAAAACAACTTTTAACTGAAAGAATAAGAAAAGATAGTGGTCCTTAAAGAATAACTTATTTCCTTAACACTTATACGATTAAGAAAATACTACAGAAGTTTACATACAACAAATCTACCCACTGTACAAATCTACCCACAGTACATCTTTGGAAAATGAATAGTGCAGAGATCAAAAGTTTTCCTTTAATAATAAGAAAAGAATGTCCTTTCAGTGACTTTGAGGTAGAATCCAATAAGCAATCATAAGTGATAGAAAGCTTTTAAAAGGGTAGTAAGAATGAAATCCATTAAAAGGAATGCTTGTGAAGTAACTGCACTGAGACCAATATGTGTTCAAAGGACTCAAACTTCTTTCTGTGCATTTATAATACATTTTAAGAGAAATCTACCATGTGTTCTCTTTATTACATTACTGACACCTAATTTAGTTCTGAAATAGGAAAAGTTCCAAAATGGTTTTTCTATAGAAAGAGAAAAACAGCATGGATTGGTTCACTCCCAATAAAATTTAACGGAATGGTATTCTAGCAACATATCCAATTTAATATGTTTAAGTCTAAGATTTACCATATTAAAAGCTTCCAGCTCATTCCTTCTAGGCTTATACTTCTCATAGTAGTCCAGTATAGTGTTTTCTGGCAGCTTCAAAATAAAAACAATAACAATAAACTTGTCAACAGTCAAAAATAGTTAAAATTTTTCCTTATCATATGTACCCTAAAGAAAAACAAATATGATACCAATTTAGAACCTCAGGTGTTTAAAATGCTCTCTTAGGATATTCAGCGAACAAATCCACATAGCTAAATTCTTGGAAAGTTTTCTGTAGGAACATAAACATAGTTGTATACTATACAATACTATACGATGAATAACATCACTAATATCTTTGAAATATTGTTTAATTTCAATGCTTACTAATGAAATATTTACCCTTACTTATTACTATTCTTGTGGAACAAACAAGCATTGAATAAAGCTTTTTTTGAATAAAACTAGAATATGAAACACTATCTAAATCATATCTTAGAGACATTCAAAGGCAACAGGAACAAAATAATGGCATATGTTTATATTTAAAATAATTTTCTCTAACATCCAATTAACAAATGCATCAATGAACATTATTTTGTTTCTTCTGTAAAAGAGATACCTGTATTGTGCGGAACCCTCATATGAAAGAGGCTCATTTCTAGTTCAGGTACAAGTTTCTGCACTAGCTGAACTTTATGATTACAGTTCTATTACTGTAACAGTATAAATAAATATTGCATAGCCAATGAAATAAAAATGCTAACGTGTAAGTTGTTTCTAGAAGGGTAAGTTGTTTCCGAATGCCTTTGTGAGGGGCTTAAGAAGCAAAGTCACTCGAAGAAACTGCTACCAAATTACTTGTCCAAGCAAATGACGGAGTGTATAAAATTGTTGTTGCAGTACCCTAAACATCTTTTGAATCTAAAAAGCAGGAAAGGGTGAGGTGGAAGATAAGGCTTTGTCTCATCCAATTTCATGTGCAGCCTCCCAGAAAAGATCTCCTATCCCTCACAGAGCTCGAGCACATGACCCATCTCTCATCCTTCAACCAATTTTATCGAGCTGTGAGTTAAATGAGCAACTGCTGGACCGGCTCTTTCAGCAGAATCCCAGGCTGCACTTCGAGGCAGCAAGAATTCTCATCTCACAAAACTGTGTGTCTGAATTTGGACTTTCCTCTCTACTCCCCCAAGATCTGCTGTCAAAGGACAAGTTGGGACTCTCGATCTTTACCACCCCGCTTCCCACAAACACTGTTTTTCAATGTAATTCCGTGGAGCTGCTCCTTTGCACCATCCTAGGAAAAACTGTTAAGGCCATCAGTTGCCTTTGTTCCAAATTAGGAACGCAGGATTGTACTCCGCAGGGATGCCCTCTGGAGAACCACTTTCCATCAGCTGTGTCTGAGACCGAACTCCTCCAGAGGGTTCCTCTTGGCCTTTTTGTGTTCCTCTTTCATAGTCCCTGCACTGGACTTTACATGACACGAAGTTTGACGTTTAAAATGTCATTGGGATTTATAGAAGCAGGAGTTTGTGTTCCTGTCTCACATTCTATTTGTTACACTTGAGTGATGAGGAGAGAAAAGGTGAGAGCACGCTCTTCATTCTTCCACTTGACAAGAGACTGTTCTTTACTTTAAATGGCCTGAGCTGGGCATGACAGATTACGCATCACAGGTATGCACAATGAAAAAGGTCAAGGTGGATGCCCGTATGGAAGACTTCGTGCAAAAAGCAAATCAAAACAAAACACAATGGATTATTCTTATAGCAAAAACTTTGCAAATGAAGTATATTCATGTTTTTGGGAGAGAAATTCAATGTTTATATGATTTGATTCCATGCTTTAACCAACTTTTTAAATCAAATACCAAAAAGTCCCTCTCATCAGATTATATGAAAAACTTGAAATGAAGACACCATTTCACTGAATTTAACACCAGTCTTTATGATTCTAGAAAAAGGAGCCAGTATGAGTTGTACAGCAGGGCCCTAACTTAGTGGCTATGGGTTCGGGTCATACAGATATCCAATCCTAAAGACAGCGGGAAATGGTAAGTGAGCAATTATACACAGGCGTTTAGTCTACACTCCCTTATACTTTGTTGACAGTTGTTTTGACTATAGTATAGCCTACGTGTTATAAAAAATGTGTTTATTACCCACATTTCATACACTTGACCAAATTCATCCTGTCTGCCACAATTGCAAGAGTCAGTTCTGAATATAAATTTTTCTCATCAACTCTTCATTAAAACTCATTTCTTGAATTTTATTTGCCTTTATGTCAAATTTCTCTCAGTCTGCTTTAGAGGACATTTATTTTGTCTGTTGGCAAACATGACTCTTTTCCTTATCTTTCTTATTAGACTTGTTTGTCTGATGGCTGATAGTTTTGGAACAGTGCCAAACAAGCATTCTTCTTGTGCACAATGTCTGTCAAGTTACACAGTGTGACAGAAGAAGCACAGGCTGCAGTTAGATGCCTGGACTAGAATCTTCTTCCCTAACTTCCTAGCTGTAGGCAATAACATACACTTATGTCTGATTCTCACCTAAAACACAAGAACAGTATCACTTATTTTATAAGGCATTCAATGAGATAGTGTACATGGCACAAAGCAAAGGTTCAATAAACATTGAGTTTTTCTTCACACTGTTTTTTAAAATATTAACTTGTTTTGGTTCAGTCTTAGATTTAAAGAAATTATCAAGATAGTATAGATAATTCTATGTACTCAATACCCATGTTTCCATTTGGAAATATGGTATTTTTGTCAGTTACTAAACCACTGTTGGTTTTAAAATGATGATGATGATGAAGATGATGATTTTGCAGTGCTGGGGATTGAACCCAGGACCTCATGGATGCTAGGCAAGTACTCTACCACTGAGCCAAATCCCCAGCCCAATTTATCATTATTAACTAAAGTCCACACTCTAATTGGGTTTCCTGAATTTTTTGCCTAGTACCTTTTTTTTCAGTTCTAGAATTCCCTTCCGGACGTCCTTTTGGTTTTGACAGTTTCATAGATTTGCCTTGTATGTGATGACTTTTGACAGTGTTGAGGAGTACCGATTAGCTGTTTAAAGAATGCTCCTCCACTAGCATTTGTGGAGGATTTAACTGGTGTTAAATTCAGTGAAATGGTGTCTTCATTTCAAGTGCTCCTCCACTAGATTTTTCTTTCCTTATCAACAGATTAGGGCTGTAGTTACAGAGAGGAAGAACACAGGAGCACAGTGCCATGGTCCTCACATCACAGCAAGGGTGCACAAGATCCCCGTGATTTATCACTGTTGATGTAGACCCTGACTACCCAGCTAAGGCAGTGTTTGTCAGGTCTCTTCACACAAGTGCTTCTGGTCTCTGCTTCCCAGACTCTCTTTTGGAAGAGAGTTGCTATGCACAGCTCACACTTAAGGGGAAGTTATATTCCATCTCCTTGAGAGTATAATATCCACAAGAATTACTTGGCATTCTTGTCCATGGAAGATTTGCCTCCTCTCCTTCATTTATTTATTTATTTACTCATTCACTCATTCGTTTTTAAAAACAGAGCTATATAAAATCCTCCAGACAGGCAGGGGTAGGTCACATTGCAACTTCATGGAGAGTGAGTAGGTTGGACAAGTGCAGAAGAGAGACAGTTGTTTAACCTTCATCCCCAGATGCACAGGATCAGTGTATGACTTAGTTCTCATTACTAGACAGGGGGTTGGGAGCTACTACCATAGCCTTGATTAGGATGGAACGCACTCAGCTACTAAGGTAGGTGGACATGGAAGTCAGGCTCATCCGCAGATCCTGCCAAGAGAGCAAGTAAACACAAAGCCAGTGACAAAAGGCTGATCTCGCCCTGATGTACTTAGGTTGCCTGAGGAAATTATCCATGCTGTTACTCAAAAAATTACTGTCATTATCTTCTGAAAAACACAGAGCAAAGGTAAGTCATATGTGTATTACTTTTAGAAGTAATGTAATTATGTAACTATTCCTCCTAAGCTTATGGTAGTAAGATAGAGGTTTTCTTAAAAAATGAAAAAAAGAAAGAAAAGAAAATGTATGAAGTTCTGACCTATTCCATTGGATACCTGTTTAATGACTAGTTAATGAAGATAAAATTAGAAACTGCTACTATTTCAGTAGAAAAATTTACATAAAATGTTACATTCAGCTCATATTCATTCTAAACTTGAGTACTGATACATCATATAATTATTAGATATTTCACTTGAATTGTCATTTATAAATTTTGTGTAAGTCAATACTTCAAATAATCTAATGACATTTAAATGAATTATTTCTATATTAACACCAGTATTAATCAGATAAGATGCTCTTATTTTCCTCCATTAAATAAAAATTAAATAAAAAGGTATAATGCATTTTTCCTTTATTTATTCTTACTCATTTAATGATAATTAGCTACTCCCTAAGAGTACTGGTTACCACAGAGACAACGGTATACCTAATGCTTCTCTATGGTTAATTGAGAGAATAAAGATATCTTTAACAGGCCACGTGGCTATTCTTATATAGATTAGATATATTATGTGAGTCATCTCTATTGCTTAATAGGAACCTTTTATCTTCTGTGCATTTGGCATAAAATGTCATTAGGCTTAACTAGGTTTTGCATAGTATTTCGGCATTTTTTAATTACAATTTGAAAGAAGTATAATTGTTATCTCATTTTTTCTAACAACTGCTCCAAATCTATACAATTATAAGTTATAGAAGATTTTATTAATCATATGCTTATTTTGAAGAAGAATTTGAGGTGGCTTGTAACATGAGGCATAAAGTATGTCCACAGTAAGGCCATTAAAGACAAAAATATTCTGAAGTGTGAAGGGAGAAGAGCAGGACACCAAAGTAACTTAGGGGGAAGCTGCTAGAATCAGCCAGAATTGAGCATAAATTTAATTTTGACTTTCCTAGTAGCTAAGACAAAAAATAAATAAATTGAATATTCTTTGGAGGATATCATTCTATCATGAAAAAGGGAACAGAAATCTATGCATAGCAGAACCCAGGTAACATAAACTTCTTAATAATGTCATAGTGAAATGTCCAGAAACATCCCATACTATGTAAGTGAA